CTCAGGGGTACAACGACAGTTGCAAGGGGAATCAGGATGGTCAGAGCCTGAAAAAGGACCAACACCAAGAGAGATGGTGTTCCTGGCCTTTGTTAGGTGTGCAACTTGACTGGGGGGTGTGCTGGTGGTCTGCAGGAAGTGATGGAGGTGAACTGCTGATGCAGGCAAGGCTCAAGGATTTGAAGAACACAGCATTTTTGGAAAAGCACACAGGAGGGGATCATGGTTAGGTAGTAACCTGATTATCTGCTCAGATTACTGAGCTAGAAGGAATTTGGGTGAGTCAAAGCTCTCAGCTGTAGTGATTCTCTTGCTTTGAGGCATCAAGACTTTACAGGCTGTTTGCTTGTTTTAATCTTGGACTTTGGCTTAAGGATTAAATGTCAATAAGTCAGCTGCAGGTCTCATCACAAGTCACTTAGGCCTAGGATAGACTCTCAATTCAATTTATTTTTATGTCAGTTTATTAATATCAATCACTGCCTGTTCAGCACTGTGTCAAGCTGGTCCTCAGCCTACCTTCTCCTTTCTCCCAACTACTACTCAGAGAATGAGGTCATGATTTTAAAATCTCAGTTTGTAGGGTATATTTCCTTATATCTTATTTCTAAGTATGCTCCATGACTGAGGCCAGCAGTTTATAGTAATTACATCCTCTGTCTGCACTAATTTTTGAAGTACAAACCAACCGATCTACCTGCACTCTTTAAGATTTATCCTTCTTTTTATTTCTTCCCTGCTTCCTCTCTTCCTCCTTGTTCTTCCTCTTCTGTTTTCTTTTACTCTGTATTTGTGTCTCTATATCCATTGCTGCAAAGCTCTCCAGAATTGCACAACTGCTCTCCACAGAATTCCCCATGTGCTCAAACAGACCAGGTAATTTTTTGATTCTCCCTACCCCTTGGATCCTAAAATCTGATTAGTTATGGCTTTTGTACAGCTTTCCCATCAAGAGACTCATAAAGATTCATGCAATGCAAAGGATATGGAAGAGAAGAGATGCTCACTTTGTGGCTTGCATCTGGTATATGTTCCCTCTCAAAGGTACCTGCTGTCAGTGATTTGTTGTGCCTTTTTCCAATGACATTTCTGTGTGTTTCCATGTGCACAGACATTTACACATTGATACTTTTTTTTTCTGCTTACCACCAAATCTTGAAGATCTTTCCCCCACTAGTACTAGAGATTTTCAACTCCAGTATCCTTTGTTCCACTTGTGATAATCTCCCTCTAAGTAATACTTCTCTGGTCTACAAGATCAATTCCCAGTTTCTCAGAATTCCCTTTTCTTGCCCTAGGGATAGCTCAAAGCATCCCAGCATCTGACTATAAACCTGTGGGCCCTTTTTCTGGCTGCCAAATGAAATCTGCATGGAATAAAAGGGAGAATCTAAACAGGATAAGCAGTTACAAAGAAAGATTTTGTTCCCCGCATTTTATTTCTAACCTCAGAACACTTTGCAACACTCATTGCTACCACGTATGGTGATGGTGGCTTAACCCCTTAGAAGTCTTCAAGTCTGATGAAGTCTTACTAATATGTCACCCTTGGTGAGGAAGAGGAGAGGGAGGACGAATCAGAATCTCATTTAAATCAACAGTACATTGGGTCTCCTTGTGACATTTTTTAACCAAGTACATAAAAGTGCACCAATGATTAGTGTACACTGGTGTGTGTAGTTTCACAGACAGCACACTTATGTAAACACCACCTGGTACAAGGCACAGACCATTCTGAAAGCACAGAAGACTCTGGCCTGTTTCCATGTTTGTTTGTTACATATTTGTAAGGGTTCTTTTTATGTCATAGAAATGAATCCTTTCTGTTAAATGTTGCAAATACTTCTCATGAATTTTAACATGGCCCATGCCATTGTTTCACCAAGAGATTTTTAAGTCTGATAAAGTCAAATTTATCGAAATTCACCTTTATCCTGGGTCTCACATCATAGTAGCAAAAATTTTAAATATGTTCCTATAATTTCTCCCAATATTTTATGTTATTGTATGATTGGGGTTTTTTTTTATTCCATCTATACTATCCATTTATTTTTTGAATTGTAGGGAATGATAGTCAAATTTTATTGTTCCAATTAGATATACCATTGAAAAAATACTAACTATTGTATCTCTTTCCCCAACTTTAAATGTCACCTCTATACAAAATTTCTATAGCAATGTGTAACTGCTTCTACATTTTATTTCTGATCCAAATTCAATTTTGAATTATTATAGTTTTATAGTGTTATTTGCTATCAACTTGGTCAAATCTTTTATTGTCATTCCTCAAAAATTTATTTGGAATTTTCACTTTCTATATGAGCCCTAGACTCTGCTTGCCATGTTCCAGTGTAAAACTCTTCTCTAGTCAAGTGTGGTAGTCCCCACCTGTGATCCTAGCATTCAGAATTTTAATTCAGCTCATTAAAAAATTATTCCCCAAAAAACCATACTTGTGCAGCAGCTGCTGAGAACCAGCCATGGTGGAACCCAGGTGGCTACAGAAGAAGTCAATTCACCTGCCCTCTTGGTAAGCACCTCCCTCCAGTGTGAGCCAGGAGGAGACCCAGTCAGCAGCTCCTGTGAGCCTACCGGTACACGGGCTGGAAATCTAACATCCCAGCCAGCCCCCACCCCGATTAGCAACTGGGGACAGAGGTCTGAGCATGTCTTAAGAGGATTACCTGACTGTATACAATACAGCAAATATGGAGGATTTCCTTCCATTCAGTGTCTGAAGGCAAATGAGTCTTTTTCACTGTTTTGTTTCATTACAATTAATTTATTACTCTATTCAATATTCTCTTTCAAATGATTTTATAATGTTCTGTTTTTGATTTTGCTATACCTAATTGACTGGACAACTATTGTGAAGATAATAAGATATACTATAATACCTATTACTGTTATCCCGGTAACCTGCTGTGAAGTTCTGTATCAATTTCACTGCATTGTCTCGATTGGCTTTGTTCTGTCTTGTTCTATTGTATTTTTACTACCTTCAAAATTAAAAAATAAAAACATACTTGTGCTCCTGGAGAAAACTTAGGGGTCTACGATTAAAGGAATCTACGATTCCTTTAATGAATGATATCACTTGTTTATATCATATTTTACACCCATATTTATACATGAATTTGTCCTCTAGTTTCTACCTCAGGGCTATTTTCATTCAGTTTACACAGTGCCAGTTCCAGCAATACAAAATTAGCTGAAGTGTTCTGTGTGTTTCTGTGTTCTGGAACCATTTCTATGACATAAGAATCAGTAACTAGGGGCTGGGGATTTAGCTCAGCGGCATAAGCGCCTGCTTTGAAAGCAGGCAGTTGTGAGTTCGATCCCCGGTACCGATAAAAAGGAAAAAGACAAAAAAAAAAAAAAAAAAAAAGAATCAGTAACTTCGGGACTGGGGATTTGGCTCAGTGGCATAAGTGCCTGCCTTGCAAGCATGCAGTCGTGAGTTTGATCCCCAGTACCTATAAAAAGGAAAAAGACAAAAAAAAATAAATAAATAAGGAACTTCTTCAAAGTTGATATGACCATACCAGCAAAAACTCCTGGGTCTGAGGCCTCTTTTAGGTAGCAGATTCTGACTACTTTTTCTTCTTCATAATGACAGTATTAGCAGGAACTTCCACAGTCAAGTGTGAGCTACTGCCCTTTTTTTCCGACTCTGTGCCCTAATGGCCTGCATTTTTATAGACTGAGGAAGGGAGCACAGGAAGGTGGAAAGAACTGACAGGTCACACAGTGAGTCAGCAGAGGAACAGGGAGCTAGGCCGTCTGTCTCTCAGGCTGTTCTTAACCACAGGATAGGCAACACTGCCGCCTGCTGACAGAAGAAATTCACTGACTTAAATGTGTTTTGGGGTCGCCTATCTTTTAAAACATCTTTAACAAATTATCTGCCATAGGGAGCTGACTTGAAGGTACTTCCCTGCTGGTGCCAGAAGTGGTCGTGCATGCCTGGAATCCCAGAACTTGGGAGACTGAGGCGGGAGGGTCGTCATAGTTTCAGGCCAGTCTGGACTACACACTGAGTTCCAGGCCAGCCTGGGCTACACAGTGAGGTCAAGCAAGGCCAGCCTGAACTGCTTAGAAACATGGTGTCTCAAAGAGCCAAAAGAAAAAAAGAAATGAAAAAAACCGACTCAAGCTAAACCTTACATCTTAGATAAATATTAATTTAAAATGGATTACAGATCTAAATGTGAAGTACAGAACTATAAACAGACGAAAACTGAAGAAAATATTTCTGATCTTGAGTTAAGCAGAGTTCTCAGTCATAATACCAAAAACATCCTTAAAAGAAAAACTAGATTTCATCAAAATTAAAACCTTTGCTCTACAAATTACACTGTTTAAAAAGAAGGGAAGGAGGAGTAGGGAAAGTAAAAAGAATTAAGATATGTACAAGTACAGTTCTTCATGATGAATGTAATTATGTATTACAAATACGTACTAATAATTTTTTCTAATATTTAAAAAGAAGCTGGATGTGGTGGTACACACCTGTAATCCCAGCACTTGGGAGGCTGAGGCATGAGGATTTCTGTGGGTTTCAGGCTCCATAGGGTTATGCAATGAGTTCAAGGTCACCCTGAACTGCACACTGAGACCTTTTCTCAAAAAAAAAGGCAAAAGTCTGAACAGATACTTCATCACCAAAGAAGATACACACGTGTCAAATAAGCAGAAGATATTTGTAAAGATCACCCTCCACTGCCAAAGAACCTAACTCCAAGTGTTAAATCACATCACTCAAGGGTGCCCAGTGCAATCCAAGTCTCCCAGACCCAAATCATTCTTGCCTCAGGTAGTCATCTCCCCACCCCACACCAAACTGACCAATCACCTGAGAGAGCAGGACCATCACACCAATCAGCAGCCAGGTTTTGTCTCCTTGCTTCCCATTATACACAACTTACAATCAACCAATAGAAGTAGAAAGACTGGGAGGTAGGGCCTGCTTGGTCTCCATGGTAACCTCTAGAGCCTGGCTTAGCCTGGGTAGTAACAGATCCAGATGCTGTACTGGGGGTCAGGGATGGTGCACACACCAAGGAGTAGCAGGCACAGGGAACAGTGGAGGTAGGATATCATAAGGAGGCATAGAGGGGAGATAAGTGAATAAAGACATATTGAGAGGAGGCACAGCTTTAGGAGAATAGGGAGTTATTCTAAGTGGATGGTGAATGAGCTCAAAAGGTCAGAAAGCTGTTTGGGGGGGGGGGAGTAAAGAGAAGATGTTAGAGGAAGAGAGGCCAGGACTTTATGAGAAGACAAAGAAGAGGCCATATGTATAACCAAGGAGAGGAATTACAGTTTATAGGCTGTCTTTGAAGGTACCAAGTGAGAGCAAATTGGTCAGGGTAATTAGGGTAGGACCATGACCTATTCATAAGGAAAAGTGGAGGATATTATAAAAGGGTCAGTGAAAGAGCTATTATTGTAGACATTGGAAGTTTTACAGAGTGAGATTTAGTTGGGAATGATGAATTTTTAATGACGGTTTTACAGATTAAAATGATAATATTAATGTGAGGGCCTCATAGGGTGTTACAGCAGCAAAGAGAAGGCTGCTTTGGGGATAATGACAGTGTTAAAGGAACAAAATGTCATAAGGTATCAGTTGAGGTTTAGGGAATAAAAGTCATCAGAGTCAGGGAATGTGGAGGGGACAGTAGAAGGGGCCAAGTGAGAAATTCTGGAGATCTTCAAAGTAACCATGAGGACAGGGAGGGAATTTTAGGATGCAGAGAAAAGGTTATGGGGAAAAGGGAGGATTTTAGGGCACAGGGTAAGAAATTCTAATGGACAGGGATTAGAGGTTAACGCACCCACAGAAGGAGTCAGAGGAAAGCAGTGAGAATTCGAAAGGGATCAAGTGAAGACTGTACAGCAGCCAACAACAATGTGTTAGGGTAAAACGGGAGGGAGTAGGAAGGAATGCAAGGGTTCTTATGCCGTACTCAGACCTAACCCATTCTACCTCAGGAGCCTCAACTTATGTCTGAGATTCCAGCATGCCTCCCAGATCTGACGGACCTGCCGAGAACCACTTCATCCTGTCCGTGCTGGCCGTGATCTTTTGCTTCCCCCTCGGGCTTGTGGCCATAATCTTATCCTACAAGGTGGGAATCTGCATCCAGCCTGCCAGTCTCCATCTCCTCCCTTTGTCCCAGCCCTCGGTCTTACTCAGCTTCTTCCTTATTCTCCCTCCCATGCTAGAAGCCTGCGAGGGGCAGACGTGGGGTGCTCCTGTAGGTTCTGACCCCCACATTCAGTCCTTATAGTCTTGCAGCTCTCCCTATCCAATAGCCCTGTTATGCCCATCTTTTCTTACTGCCTTTCTCCCTGAAATTCAGACAATGGTCTACAATCAATCAAATGACTATGAAAACGCAGCTACGACCTCCAAAATAGCTTTGTGCTTGGCCATCACTGCCCTTGTTCTCGGCATCCTCAGCTACCCTTTATATGTTTTTCTCACAGCCTTACTAAGATAATCTTGCCAGCTCATGAACAAACCACAAAATATAAAAACTAGTACAACTTATTCCTGGTTGTTAGCATCTATTTGGTTTTAATAGGACACCTGCTCCTCAATGTCTGGAGTACCAAACTATTTGAAATCATGAGGAACCAGACATGCTGACTCATGCCTAACACTCCAGGAGGCAGAGACAGGAGGACTGCTGCAAGTTCAAGAAAAACTTGGGCTACTTGAGTTTAAGGCCATACTAAGACCTTGTCTCAAAAAATATCAGGAAAAAAAAACCTAAAATATTCTTCATTTTCTTGCACATCACTCAATATCAAACTTCTGACACCAGATGTGATATATAGAGGATAGACATGAACCAATTTTGACACCACATTCTCCAGCAAATGCCAACTAGATGTCTTAACATTTCATTCAATTCTGCCAGTATCTACTTGGAATGTGCACTTGGCATTAATTCTGGTATTATAAGTGGTACAAAAACAAGGCTACGGCTTGGCAAAGAAGAGCCCTATCCAGGGGTGTATGACCAATTGGGATGCTAGGAAGAACTCTGGCATGGGAGCTGGGTGGGCAGAAGCTGCCTTTGGCAGTGGCTTTCATACCCTCTTGTGCACAATTGCTGGGCAGTGAGAAAAGTGTGGGGATGAGGTATCATGGGTGTAGGGCTGGGAATATTGAAGCAAGATGTGACAGTTCTTTGATACTTTTCTCTCACTGCTGGGACAAAATACCCAAAATTGCAGGAGGGGTTTATTTAGCTCACAGTTTGTAGAGGTTTCAGTCCATCATCAGCTGGCTCCAAGGCAGAGTGGCATAGCAGTCAGGCATTGCAGAGGACAACAGTTCATAGCAGAAAGTAGCAAAGCAGAGATGAAACAGGCCTCTCTCTGTCCCTTATATTACATCTAGGATACTGTGTTAGGATGGTACCAAACCAATCAGTGGACTGATTTAGTAATCACCTATCCTTAATTCTAGCACACTTGATCCTAGCATTCCACCATGAATCAGTCACACACACTAGATTCAGCTACCTCTGAAAAAGTCCCACCTCTGACTACATCAGGCTTTGGGAGGGCATCTAGAAAACTCGTAACATTTCACCCCTGGCCCCCAAAGTCTCATACACATCCCTTTATGCAAAAGACATTTAGTCTACCTACAAAAGTGGCCAGAATCTTAATAGCGAGTTCAGCACTGCTGAAAGTCCAAGTGCAAAGTCTCCTCTAAGCTAAGGCAGAACTCTTAGCTGCAAGCACCTGTAGAGATAAAAAGGAAGTTTAACACTTCCATCATTCAATGGCACAAGAGAGACATTTCCATTCCAAAAGTTACAAAAGGGAAATACAAAAGAATGGGACCAAAGCAAGTCCAAAATCCAGCAGGGCAAACATTAAGTCCTGTAGTTCCATGTTCCGGGCAATCTTTGACAATATGTGAACTCCAAAGGGCTTGGGTAGCTCCACTCCTGCAGCACTGTCAGCACTTGTGACTCCCAAGGCCAGCCGTGCTTGAGGCCAGCTGTGCTCCTTCCTTGCAGTTTTCCTCATATGATTCATGTGCCTGGCTTCTCCAAACCTCTGGGACCACCATTGTACCTTCACCTTCACACAACGCTCTCTCAGGAGCACACTGCCTGGCTTCCCAGGACTCCTTATGGAATATTTGTGGAAGCCTTCCTGATTCCACAACTCTTTCCTTCTGCAAGCACCTAAAACTAGCACCATATGAATGACACCAGGGTCTTGTGCCAGCCAGCTGGAGCAGTAGCAAGGTTTTCTTTTCTCTTGTATGTAGGGTTTCTAGTGCCTATGAACCAAATCCTGAGGAACAATTTCCCTAGGCCACTGCCATTCTGGAACATTGTGTTCTGCGGTTCTCTTCTCAAAGAAATATCTCTGCCTTTAACTGGAGTCCTGCTAGTTCTTGTCATGTCCTCAAGCCATCTTTCCTGTTGTCTTCTTCTGAAATACTTAGCTTTTTCTTGCAAGTTTTTACAGCAACTAATTTCTCTGTTCCACCTTAACAGACTGCAACTTTACTGTAGCTCCTTTCTGACCAAATTCACACTGTTTTGAATCATTCTGCTGGACTTTTTGCTCTTGATTCTCAACATAAATCTGGCTAAAAGCCCCCAACAGTAGCCATGCCATTGCTTCTAAATTACACTGCCTTGAAGTTCCTTCTGCAAGATTAATTAGTCCATCACCCTTAATCTTAGTTTCAGGAAAAGTCTCTGGACACAAGCAAAATGCAAGCAAACTTTCTGCCAAGGTGTAACACATACAGTCAGGAGTCTATTGGCCAATACAATCCCTCTTCTCAGCAGAAATCTCCTGAACTTGGTCTTTACCAGAACACTTCTGTCAGATTTCTGGTCTTCTGATCTCTGACCAAAAATTTCCCACCAAGTACAGCAAAAGGTATCCTAGCTCTACTTTATCAACTGGCATCTCCAAACCTCTTTAAACTCTTCCCACTTGTCAGCCCCTAAGGCTTCTGAACCACATGGTCAGATACAGTCACAGCAATGACCCCACTTCTCTGGTACCAATTCTTACTTTCCTCCCATTACTGAGACAAAATACCCATTACCCAAAGTTAAAGGAGGAAAGGCTGATTTAGCTCACAATTTATCAAGGATTCAGTCCATCATTGGCTGGTTCCAAGGCAGGGTGGCATGGCAGACAGGCATTGCAGAGGAGAAACAATTCAGGTAGAAGGTAGCATAAGGTAAGCATCTCTCTAAACCTTACAGCATATCAAGTCTACCAGAATTAGGGTGGTGCCAAATCAACTAGTGGAATGATTTAATAATCACCCACCCTTAATCCTAGCATCGCACCATGAATCAGTCACACTCCAGATCCAGACACCTCTGAAAAAGGCCCTCTTGTGATTGTATGAGGTTTTAGAGGACATCTGGACACAAACTATAACAGTGGCACATGCCAATGATCCCACTACTCTGGGAAGTTGAAAGAGGATCACAAGTTCAACCCCAGCCTGTCAAGAAAGGACAGACAGCTGGGATGGTGCTCTGGCTATATGGGAAGCTGGGAGAGTATATAACTGGCATTTCCCCTAAGCAGAAGGAGAGCATTATCTTGGGAAGTAAAGGCCTTGAAGGCATAGGGAGAGAGCTCAAGATGGCCACCCAACAATGATGAGATTATGGAGTGAGCAGGAGCTGTAGGTATAGCTCAGTGATAGACCACTTCCAAGGCATGTGTGATGGCCTGGTTCCAACTCCAGGACGACAAAAGAAAAAGAGTCATCATGACCATACTCTCTGACCATCAAGTATATTAATATGTAGCCACATCACACAGAAAGTATAATGTAATCAGTATGTTAAAAATAGTTAAGAAATTGATTTTATACTTGTGTTAAAGCTTACTAATATGTTGGTGATTAACTAAAAAAAATAATAAAACTATGCCAGTTCAGAAAGTATATGCCATTCAAAAGAAATATAGAGCCAGGCATGTGGGCAGATGCCTGTAATCCCAGCACTCAGGAGACTGAGGCAAGAGGATCACTGCAAGTTTGAGGCCAGTCTGGGCTCCATAGTGAGTACAATGCCAGCATGAACTATAATGCTAGAGCCTGTCAAAAAATCCAAAAGAAGAATAGAAGCTGGCCATGATAGCCACCCCTAGGATTACCCAGCACTCTGGAGGCTAAGGCAGGGGAATCACAGTGAGTTTGAGGCCATCCTGGGGCTTAAAGCCAGCCTGAACTACATAATAAAACCCTGTCTCAAAACAAAATGAAAAGAATATAGATTACATAAAACATAAAGAGCTGGAGCTTTTAAAATAAGTAATTGAGTAATGAGGAAGTACTAGATTATATGGTAAAAGTATGTTAAGAAGTTACTAAACTGTCATCCAAAGCAACTGAATCACTGGACGTTGCCATCACTAATGAGAGAATTCCTCTTGTTCCAAATACATTTAGTGGTGCTGGTGTTTTGGATGTTGCCTATCCTAGTAGGTTTGACGGTATACCTGTTTTGTTGTTTTTAAGACAGGGTCTCACTACATAGTCCAGGCTGGCCTAAAATTTCTGGCCCAAATCTCCCAAATTCTCCAGTTGTTGTGGTTTGTGGTACAGGCTATTGAACTCAGGGCCTCTGCACTGAATTACACCCCCAGCCTTTTATTTTTTATTTTGAGGCAAGGTGCCTTGGTTACTGTGATGCCCAGGTTGAACTGAAACTTGTTATCTTCCTGCTTCCACTACAGAGCTAGCATTACAGGTATGCACCAACCGTGGGTGTTTTAATTAGCAATTCCCTGATGATATTTAACATGTTTTCATTTATTTTCCACTTGTGAGATATCTGATCATGACTTTTGTGTGTTTCTAATTGGGTTGTTTATTTCCTTATTGTTAAATGTTAAGAGTTCTTTATGTACTTAAGACACAAGTTCTGTACAAGATTTGGGTCTTGGAAATATTTTTTCCTGGTCTGCAACTTATCTTTTCATTCTTTTAATAGCCGATTTATTTTAACGTTCTCAAACATGTTCCAAGATCCCTGAAAACCTTGTAGACTCAACAATGTCTCACTGATTTTATTTTTAAGTAGCAGAACACTTCACACAGGGTAGAAGGGTGGAGATATTGGGGGATATGGCAGCTGTTGAAAAAGCAGACTCTGAGGAGTCACAGCTGCCAATCTTTCCTCCTGAGAGCCCACCAGCTTGCCTGGCAACCAGTATCTCTCTTCAACTTCCCAGTGTTTGAAGGTTCCCTCAGCTTTTCCCTCAAATCTCCTATCTCAGAGGTGATCATAGTCCCTTTTCCCTGGATCAGAGGCCTGAATGTCTCCTGGGCTCCTTACACCTACATGCTCTCACACTGCCCTCAACTTCTGCTCCAAAACTGCCCTTTCTTCCAGATTCCCATTTTAAAATCTGCTCCACTCTGCCAGGCGCAGTGGCACATGCCTGTAATCTCAGCACTCAGGAGGCTGAGGCAGGAATATCATTGCAAGTTCAAGACCAGCTTGAGCTACAAAGTGAACCCAAGGTCAGCCTGAACTGCACAGCGAGACCCTGTCTCAAAAAGGCAAAAATAAATAAATCTGCCCCATCCAGATCCAAGCCCCAGACCAGAGCCCTGAACCTCATCATTGATGCCTACTATCACAACTGTCTAACCTCAAGGCCAGACCCAGCTGTCGCCTCCTCTCAGCACATCTTGGTCCAACACTGCCCCATCCACCTCCAAACTTGCTCCAGCCTTTTCCTTGTATACCCAGGTTTAATTTCAATCCTCACCTTTCCCTCTATTTGTGTATTCAAAAACTATTGGCAGAATGAGGCCCCATGCAGATCCAGCTGGTGAACAAAAGGTCCTCAAAGCTTGCCATTCCTCAGGACCCTGTCTGAGCTCAGTTTTCCTTTGCTCTGGGCCTCACACTAACTCCTCTACAGACCCAGATTGCTATCTTGGAGCCTGGTGGGCTCTCCAGAACTCTCAAGTTCTCTGGGTCATCTCTTGCACTCTTCCTGTTCCAAATGAACATGCATCTGCCTCCCCGACTAAGCTGTGAGTTCCACATGATGGGAACCAGGCTGTCCTGTCACCACAGTGTCCCAAGCATCAGGCAAGACAGTCTGCTCCATTAACATTTAGGAAATGGGAAGCAAGAATGAACACCTGGAAGACTGCATGCCAGGGTAATATTAGTATCACACTATCTGCCTCTACTCCCCACTCAAACAAGAGAGGACCTGTTTCTAAAATCAGAGAACAGTAAGTAGCCAGGCTTGTAATTCCACTGCTCTGAGAGGCCAAGCCACAAAAGTTGTTAAATTCGAACCCAGCTTGGGCAATTTAGTGACTTAGTGAGACACACGTCTCAAAAAATATATATAGTAATAAAAATAAAACAGGGCTTGGGGTTCAGTAGTATAGTGTTTGCCTGGCATTGTGAGACCATGAGTTAATTCCCAGTACCACAAAATAAGTGAAAGTATAAAAATCAAATAAATATGTGTATTTTTAAATAAATATACATACATTTTTGGCTCCTTATTTTTGTGTATTTTTGAAGCAGGGTCTCATTATCAGTTCAGACTGGCTTTGAACTCACTTTGTAGCTGGATTCAAACTTGCAAAGATTCTCCTGCCTTAGCCTCCGTTGTGCTGGGATTACAGGTGTGCGCTATCGCGCCACGCTGGTAAATATATTTTTAAAAATAAAATCCAAAAACTAAAAAGGGCGGAGGGTGCAGGGGATTTAGCTCAGTGGCATAAACGCCTGGCTGGCAGGCGCGAGGTCGTGAATTTGATCCCCGGCACCAAAAAAAATAAAAATAAAGGACTGGGACTGTATACCGTGTGAAGCCCTAGGTTCAACTTCCAGAATCACAAGGGAAAAAAAATGAGAGAGAGAGAGAGAAGAGAGAAGAGAGAAAATATAAAGAAGGGAAAATGGAAAGAAAAACCAGTAAGCTTGGGATCTCCTCTGCTCCTCTTTCTCTTAATGTCTACAAACCTCATTTGCCCAGAAAACAAACGGAAGCGTTAAAGACATTTTCCCTCTTTGAGAACAGCTGTGGTGATGTGGTGAGCGGGGCAGCGACAGAAGCATCTTCAGTCAACGCGTCCCCCATAGGAAGGGCGAGAGCTGGAAAACTCTGCAAAGACAGGAAATCGGAGCCGCGCCGCGCCCGCACCGCCGGCGCGCGAGTGACGTCATAGGCAGGCGCCACACTTCAAGAGAGAGCGGGAGGCGGAGGCGGTGGTTCTGTTATGGAGCTAGTGCGGGAAGCGCGGGAATTGGGTCGTTGGGCGGCCGAAGAGATGGAGGTGCCCGCAATAGCCCGGGCCTCGGAGTCGACGCTGCGCAGGTGAGGGCGCTGCAGGACTGACGACTCCTCATCTACTAACAGAGGCTTCAGGAGTGAGAGCCCATCCCTTAGCAAGGACGCGCCCTACCCCCCGAGTTACGGAGGTCCCCCCACCCCAGCAGTAGTAGGTTCAGAGATAGAATTCTGGATTTCAGCGAGGACCCGGGTGGTGACTCTCACACTCCCACCCCCAACCAGGGATGCCTCCCAGGGTATTGAGGATTGTACCTCAACTAATGCAGACCCCTCGCCTTGTGGAAACAGGGTCTCCAAAGTAAGGCTGACCCCGCAGCACCTCCCACCACCACCCCGTGAGGACACTTGGGAATTAGCAAGTCCCCACTGGGGACTGAATCTGTAGAAGTGATGACTTTGTCTGATCCAGGAGCAGTTCTCAGGTACATCCCTTACTCCACCTGGAGAAATGACTAGAGATAACCCTCTCCCAGGAGAGAGGGAGCCCGCGCTATGGATCCAGGATACTCCCTTGCTTAGCGAAAGGGCCACCTTCTCAGTGACTAAGGAGGTAATATCTTACCCCTCAAAGCATGAGCCTTCTCTCCAGAAGTAAGGCTCCTCCACTAGTCTGATGCCTTGGGCAACTTTTATCCACTGTCCTCACAGGCTGTGTCTGGGCCAAGGGGCTGACATCTGGGCCTACATCTTGCAGCATGTGCGCAGTCAGAGGTGAGCCACACTAGGTAAAAGGAGGAGGGAGAAAGGGGTCAAGGGCAAGTCCCACAGTAACACTTTCCTCCATCTCCACTGTAGGAATGTCAAGAAGATTCGGGGAAATCTACTCTGGTAAATACTTCTCACAGCCATCCCTCCTTATCTTCCTCTCCCGTCTAACTTTGTTCCCACCCACAGCCTTACATTTTCTACCTTCTCCCTGGAAGCTCCAGTCATCTCCTATCTGTGGTCTCATTTTTTTCAGGTATGGCCACCAGGATAGTCCTGAGGTGAGAAGACTGTGCTATAAGATTCTCATTCATCCAAAAAATCTTTTAGATCTGCTCTAGACCCAGACTGATGCTTGGTATGCTGAAAACACTGGGTTTTCAAACAGCCCTAGTCCCTGTGCCCTCTCAGGGTGTAGAATCCCAGGAAAGCCAGGAAAGAGCAAGTGTCAAAATTTGTGAGGGGAGATGCTGAGGCCAGGATGGGACCCAGTAGGTCCTGGGAGCCCAAATGACATCTAGGTAGAGACTTTCAGAAGGCTTCAGTACTCCAGGTATGGAGCTCAGAGAGGAGATCAAGACTGGGATAGAAATGTGGGTGTTACTAGCACAGACAAAAACAGGTTGAGAACCAGATATGGTAGTGCACACCTCAATCCCAGCACTCTGGGAGGCTGAAGCAGGAGGATCTGAGTCCAGCCTGAGACCCCATCTCAAACAAAGGGCTGGGAATGAAGATCAGTAGCAAGGCCCTAGGTTCAGTGCCCCAAAACCTGATACCAGAAATAGAAAGACAGTGAAAAAAATAAGGGAAGCTGTGCATGGTGATGCATGCCTGTAATCCCAGCACTTGGGAGGCTGAGGCAGGAGGATCAATGCAAGTTTGAGACCAGCCTGGGCTACAAAGTGAGCCCAAGGTCAGCCTGAACTGCATAGTGAGATCCTGCCCCCCCCCAAAAAAAAAAAGAAAAGGAAAGAGAATGAGTGGTTAGGTGAGGCAATCCCAGAAGAAAGGAAGGAACCAAAATAGTACCTTAGCCTGTTTAGGAAACCCCACCCCCACTCCATGAGAAATCTAGTGTCCCCCAAAAGATAGTCAGGCCAGGCTAACCCCCAATCAAACCAAGCATCTGACCTTCTACTTAACCCCACCAGGTCCGTCGGAAGTTGGAGCTGGAAACCACTGTGTCTCGCCTAAAGGCAGAGATCCAAGAGTTAGACCAGAGCCTGGAGCTGATGGAGCGAGAGAATGAAACTCAGGGTACCCTGGGGCCAGGCAGATGGGTAGTGGAATACAGGTTTGGGGAGGTGCTGACAACCACCCTGTTCTTCCCACAGACATGGCCACAGAGCAGGCACTGCAGAGCATTCGAGACACCCAGCATCGAGCTCTCCTTCTCCGGGCCCAAGCTGGAGCTGTGCGAAGACAGAAGGTTGGGCTCCGAGATCTCACACAGTGGCTACAGAATCAGCTCAAGTGCCTGCAGGACGTAGAGAGGTGGGCCTCAGTACGCAAGGGACCAGCCCTCATCAGAGTAGTTATCCTTAAAGACCTCTACCCCAATCCTTTCTGGGTTTCGGAATTCTGAGCTCCTATCTATAAGATTTAGGGTTCATAAGGCCAGAGTTGTGTCACCTTATTTTTCTGTATTTCCAAGAGTGGTGCCAACTATATAGCCAGAACACCAACTCTGGAAAAAACAATAGTAGACCCAGGACAACTCTCTGTCCTCCTGGAGCTTATTCTCTAATGTAAAAAAAGCCAGTCCATAAACTAAGATACAGATTCTATAGTTTCAGGAAGAGCTAAGTTCAAAACTATATGGCTAAGAAAGGAGAAGGCTCAAGGCAGGCAGTAACATGTCAGAAAGTAACATTTGAGTTGGGGGAGGAATTTCCTTAGAATGGGCAAGAGCAGAGATCCCAACCTTGGCCTGTGGGAAGATGGCAAGAAGCGGGTTCTGCCCAGGTTTCTCAGGCGGGAGGGATTGGGGGAGGATGTTGGACAGGTTTGGATGCCCCAGGAGAAGTATTGGAGTTTAACTCAGACAGTTCCGGCCTTGACTTGGGTATTTACAATTGTGTGGCTTTAGGCAAAATATTTAACTTTTTGGCACCTCAATACAAGATCTGTGGAATAGACTTAGTGTTCACACCAGCCTTTTGCATTAGGGATGACAATTAGTGAGTTGTGTAAAGCACTCAGAAGAGTGCCTGGTAACCACTGTTGCTATTCTGATGGTAATGGGAAAACATCCATTGCAGTGGAGGATGTAAACGGTGACGTGATCTTCCCTAGGTTTTAACAAGATTGTTATCCACTAGGTGATACACAGACTGTAGGGTGCAGGGCAAGATCATGGAAACCGGTGACAGAAGTGAAGGCAATAATCTTTTTTTTTTTTTTTTTTTTTTTGGTCTTTTTCCTTTTTACCGGTACCAGGGATCGAACTCACGACTGCCTGCTTGCAAGGCAGGCGCTTATGCCGCTGAGCTAAATCCCCAGCCCCCAAAGGCAATAATCTTGCTGTGAGATGAAAGAGGCCTAATCCCAAAGGTGGCTCCTGGGGCCCAGGCTCAGCAATTGCTGTGATTAACTGCACTAGCAGTTGGAGGAGATGGGGCACAAGCAGGGGTTTTGTCAAGGATACCAACACTAACTGTACTCCTCCCTCCAGGAAGGCCAAAGTAGATGTGACCTTTGGACCCCTGGCATCAGCAGCCCTGGCTGTGGAGCCTGTGGTCCTGGTAAGAGTTCTGGGCCCTGGGGAAGGGTGAGGAGTTTCGAGTCAGGCAGATACCTGAATGCCCTTTGTGTCTCACCATCTTCTCCCTAGCATGATGTCCGAGCAGCCTGCACTCTGCGGGCTCAGTTCCTGCAGAACCTCCTGATGCCCCAGGCCAGGGAAGGCAATGTCCAGTGAGTGTCCCCAGGCTCCAGGAACCCTTCAAACAACCTATACTTTGGAGGCAGGAAATCACTCTTATTAATTGCTTAGACGTTGAACTTCTGGGATGTATCAGTTCCAGGCTATGTCCTGACAGGGCTCCCAAGCTGGAGAAAGGAGGAGACATAACAGACAGTGATGGCCAGGTGGTCAAGTCTGTGGGGGAGGGAGAAAGGTTAGGGTGCTAAGGAGGCAGGGAAGGGAGATGTACACTGATGAGGAGGTTTAGCTAGTATAACAGACTCAATCTAGTGGGGAACTCAAGTCTAGCAGGCATAGATGGACTCCGTTTCCTCATGTGTACAATGCGGGCAATGAGAGCCCTGAATTTGTAGGGTAGTCATGAGAAGTAGATAACTGATGTGTCTTATAATGCTCCTGTCTTATAATGTTCCTTGCCCAACCTCATAGAAGCCCACATGATGACCACTTTGGAGCTTCTTACCATCAGTGGCTCAGCACAGCAGAGGTGAGAAAGTGAGGCTCTTGTAAAGGCCCCACCCTCCAGGCCCACGATCAAACCTCAGGGTGTCAGCTCCTGACCCTCAATCCTACTGTCTCATTCCTGTGGAGCCCCGGCTTACCACCCAGCCTCTGGTGTGGCCTGACTTCACTCTTCCTCCTCCCCAGACACTGCTGACAAACCATCCCCCAGGCCACGTCCTCGCTGCCCTGGAGTACCTGGCTGCAGAGCGGGAGGAGGAGATCCGGTCCTTGTGTGCTGGGGATGGGCTTGACGATATGGAGAAATCCAGGTGTGGAGTGGAACTTTCCTATTCAGGGCAGGCCAAGCTGGGACAGAGTCAGGATCAGACACAGTGACCTGCTGATGGGGCAGAACTGAGTCCCAGTGCCCAGTGCAGTGTGCAGACTGATACTGGCTGCCCCCAAGATCCAAGGCCAGGACACAGGGCTGCTCCCTCAGCATCTGTGCCCTCACACAGGCCCCAGGCCCTGACCCCAACAGACTCCAGCCGAGCCCTGCCATCCATGGTACATCTCATCCAGGTAACCTGCAGCCACCTTCCCAGTATTCCCACCCCCCTTACCCCTAGGGACCATGCCCACATAGACCTTGTACCTGCCCCCAGGAGGGCTGGCAGGCTGTGGGTGCACTGATGGCCCAGCGGAGAACCCTTCTGAAGGAGCATCAAGTCCTGACTGGCCGCCTCCAGGGCCTGGTGGAAGAGGTGGAGAGACTCAGCCTTGGACCCAGCAAGAGGTGAGGGGCTCCCTTGGCAGAGGCCTCTAGGCCATCTGTCTTCCAGGCGGTTCAGAACACTGACATTTTGTGTCCCTGTGATTCCTCTCTCTGCCTCCCTTTCCTCGAAGTATATGTCTATGTGTTTTATGGTTCATTATTCATGCCTAAAGATTGCATTTCCCTCTCTAGAACGGGTCTCAGTTTCCTTCCTCTTCTTTGCTCTTTTCTGCTTGTCCTGCAGGAAGGTGCTAATGCTGGGCCTTCGATGCTGTGGCCTGCAGGCAGAGCTCAGAGCCCTGTGTACCCAGTGCCAGGAGCTGGAGGATGTGTCTGGACATCGGCAGCTGCTTCTGCGGGAACTGCAGACCAAGCAGCAACGCATTTTGCATTGGCGGCAGCGGGTGGTGAGAAGCAGGGCCTGGAAGAGGGCAAGAGCTGAGGGGTGGGGCCTTGTGATCAAACACTGGGCAGGGAGGGGGCCCAGGGGGAAGCAAGACCCGTGCAAAGGGATGGCCTCAGCCTGGGAAGTGAGAAGGACATGCAGCTAGTCTCCATGGCCTCCTGGTCCCCAGGGGGAGACCCAAGAACATATTCGCCTACTCATCAAGGGAAACTCAGCTAGCAAGACACGCCTGGGCCGGAGCCCTGGAGAGGTGAGATGGGTATTGGGGTAACGAGGTCTGGGTTGGTGAACAAGGATAGATCTGCTTGGGACAGGGCTGGATCCACAAAGACTGCTCACCTATAACTCTCCCTCCCGACAGGTGCTGGCTGTGGTTCAGCAAAAAGTGATACCTGCCTCTGAGGCAGTGGCACCACAGAGCCAGGAGCTGCTGCGCTGCCTGGAAGAGGGAGCCCAGCACCTTCCTCACATTCTGCTGAGCCCCCTGCTACGGCACAGCCCCGAAGGGTAATCCCAAGCCCAGCCTCCATCTCTCCTGGCCTGGTCTGTCACTTCTAGAACCTCCTCCAAAGAAGTCACTCCAGTGACAGCCTTCCCAGACTGTCCACACTCACCCTCAGATTACCAGGCCCAGTCTGACATCTTAGCCCCCAGACCACCTTCAAGTTCCTTGGCCCCAGAGCTTCTGGAACTCAAGACCTTCTCTACATGGTCCATCAAGCCTGGTCTTCTCCCCCAGGTTGAAACCCCTGCCCACAATCCTGCCATCCATCTACCAGCTACACCCTGCATCTCCCAAGGGCTTCAGCCTCATAGCACTGAGCCACATACTGGGGCTACCTGCAGGGAAGGTAAGTGCCTGTCTCCTAGGACTGTCTGCCGATCACCATCCTCACACCTGCCCTCAATGATTTCCCTTCCCCTTTCCTCCAGGGACCAGAGCTGCTCCTCCCAAAAGCCGCCTCTCTTCGCCAGGACCTTCTGTTTCTCCAGGACCAGCAGAGTCTTCGGAGCAGGGATCTGCTTTGCATGAAAACCAGTCTGCCGCTGGGACCATCCACACAGGGTAGGCTGTCCTGTTCCGATACCCTACACCCCTGACCATTCCCAGCACCCAAACCTACTGCTTCCCCAGTGTGTACTGTGTGCTTAGAACATACTCAGTCATTAAACCTACACAGCAAGCCTATCAGTGAGTACAGCTCTTCTTCTCATTTTATAGAGAAGGGAGCTGGGATGCAGAGGACTTAGTATCTTGCCCACATGGCAGAGCTGGAATTTGGACCTAGGTAGCCTGACATGGGTGTCTGCTCCTAACTGCTAGGTAACACTAACCATCCATTTGCCAAGTATTCATCAGCCTCAGATAGTATACTTGAACAGTTAGAAACTGGGCTGTGGGGTTAAATCACCTGGATTTCTCTTCCTTGGTGCTTTCTCTTCCTCACTGTGTGATCTCCCCATACTTGTTTTCTCCTCAATGAAGTAAATATAGTAAGAATTAGAGAACTAGTGGGAAGATTCAGCCAGGCATGCAGTAAGCATTGTGTGTTTCTGCTGTGATTACAATAATTATCTGCATACACACCATCTCTTTGAATCCTTACTGTGACGGGAAGGAAAATTAAGATTCACAGTTTAAAAAAAAAAGATTCACAGTTTACAGACAAGGAAATGAACTCGGATCCTGGCCCAGGCAGCTTGATGGGTATGAGGGGAGAACTTGTCAGCCCCAAGGGAATTCCCATGGTAGACGCAAATAGAAAAGAATCAAAGGATATATAGGTAGAAGGTAAATTGCTAAGAAATAGGTTGGGAGAGCCAGGTGCAGTGGCACACACCTGTAATCCCAGCATTCTGGAATGCTGAGACAGAAGGACAAGTTAGAGCCCAGCCTGAGAAACTTAAGTGACTTAGTGAGACCTCATTGCAAAACAAAAAATACAAAGGCTGGGATATAGCTTCCTGTGAAGGGCCTGGGTTCAGTCCTCAGTATTGGAGGAAAAAATAGAATTGTGGGTGCTATCAGCCAAGTACAAAGAGACCACTTTCAGGCTGTTGAGTTTGGGGCTCCCTGCCTCACATTTCTCCACAGGGAAATGTGAGGAATCAGAATAGTTTGAGATGTGGCATAACATGTCCCCACCTCATAGGCATCTTGAACTTTAACATATCTGTAAGAGAACTTCCCTTTATTCCAAAAGGCTGTTTTGTTCCTCTCCCTTTAGTTTCCTCCCCTCAGTACCTATCCCTTCTTCCTCATTCAGTTGTTACAGCAGAAACCCTGGAGTCATCCTTCATTCCTCCCAGCTCCCTAACCGCCCCCCTTCAGTCTGTCAGTGAGTCCTGTGGGTCTGTCTCCCAAGTTCCCAATCTGCCCCTGCTCAATAGCCTGCAGCTATGCCTGTCTGACTGCAGAGATGGCTAAAGAAAGGACAGATGTCTAAGACTGAGGTCACAGGGCAAGGATGGGATAAAGTCAGGATCAGGTCCACACATGCTGTTGCTCTGCACTTGCTCTGAGATCTGCGTGTTCTGGGCACATAGAGAGGGACTGGGCCTAATCACTGTCCTGGAGGAAAACACCAACGGAATGCAGGGCTGGAGGAGAAAGCCCTGGGATGCCACGTGCTGGGAAGGGCTTTCCAAAGGAAAGATGGTATCTCACTTGGGTGCTGGAGTAAGGACAAGTTTTTCCCCAGAGTACTGAGCAGGACACCTACCTAACTCAGACGCTAATACCAAGTTGAGGAGCTTGGGGGCATGGAAGTTTTGGAAGATTCTAAGGGGTGTGGGGGAAGGGGTGGAAGTAGGACACATCAGATTTGGGGATCAGGTAGATCATTCTGGCTGCCAAATGGCAGGTGACCAGAGTAGAAGAGAGGCCTGGGGCCTAGGAGGGAGGCTAACAGAAAGAGTAGGGAACAGAGGAAGAGACTGGGGAACCTGAGTGGGTAAGCCATGCAGACTGATAGGCTGTCATGGGGAAGAAAGTGCCTGGGATGAGGCCTGCTGTGTTGAGATTGCTCTTGAGATATACAGACTCAGGACGGGGGGAAAGGACTAGGTGACAGGAGATTTGGTGACAATGTTGACTGTGAGGCTTCAACAAGCCAGACACCTCAGTGCTTTCTCCTGGGCTTCTGACCCCCAGAGGTGCTGCAGATCCAGGCATCCCAGGAAAAGGAACAGAAGGAGAGCCTGGGGCAGGCTCTGAAGAGGCTGGAGAACGTGCTGAAGCAGGCGCTGGAACGAATCCCAGAACTCCAGGGAGTCGTGGGAGACTGGTAAGAAAAGGAAATGGGGTGATTAGGGCTGAGCTGGGTTGGAAGTTAGGCTCAGGTCTCAGGGATGGCAGGAGGCCAGGGGAGTCTGAAGGGCCAGGCTTCCCTCTGACACAATGCTCTTTCCAGGTGGGAGCAGCCAGGCCAAGCTGCCCTCTCCGAGGAGCTCTTCCAGGGCCTGTCCCTGATGCAGTGGCGCCTACGTTGGGTCCAGGCACAGGGGGCTGTACAGCAACTGTGCAGATGAGGAAGAGACTCAAGCGAGAGCCAAGAATGACACCCTAGCACCTCTCCTCCCCCAGTAAAATGTTCAAAAGAAAGCATGGTCAGGACAAGAAGCCTGTAGTCCCTGAGCATCCCTGCACCCTCCTTGGGCTGTTGCACTGCTCCCCTGTGCCACCCCTCCCTTTCATCCCATCAAACCCAAGAGAACGGTGTATTGAGAACGCTCCGTGTGCCCCTTAAGGTCCTTGCATCACTGTCACCCTCAACAAATGTAGTCAATCACCTCTTTTGTGTGCCAGCGATACAGCACTGAACGAAAAGGCCCAAAATGACATTTAGGACATGATGGGTAGGGGGACAGTTGGTGAGATAAGTAAGGTACAGTTACATCAGAAGAAAACTGCTGTGAAGAAATGAGGGTTTAGGAGGTGTGATTTTTAATCAGTACACTGGAAAGGACCCAAGCAGAGCCACAGGGGTGTCAGGGAGGCTCCAGCACACACGTCAGTGGTGAAATGTGCTCATATGAGGGCCACTGTGGAGCCCTTTGGAGTGGAAGGTGGGATGGAGTTAAGAGATTTTCTTAGAGTTTTGTGTTCCGGGGTTTGTTTTGGTTTGTTTTGGATTTTTTTGTCTTTTTGAGACAGTCTCGCTATGCAGTTCAGACTGACCTTGGGCTCACTTTGTAGCCCAGGCTGGTCTCAAACTTGCCACAATCCACCTGCCTCAGCCTCCCAAGTGCTGGGATTACAGGAGTGCGCCACCAGGCCCAGCTTTTCCTTAGAGTTTTTAGTTTTCCTTTTTTGACATTTAAATCTAGGCACTTGGAATTTAGCCTAGCAATCACATTCAATGCTCTCTTATTTCACATCTATCCCAGTGGACTTAGTAAATTCTCAGACTGGAAAAGGAGTGAGCAGCAGGAACCAAATGAGAAGAGAAGGGAACAGGAACTCTGGGCAGTGGTGGTGAACCTGTGGCATGCATGCTGCAGCACACTATTCATATCACTGAAAGCTCTAAAAGGTTCGCCATCCCTGCTCTAGGGAAATGGAAGTCCATTGTATACCAGGAGCAGTGGGTTCCCCTGCTCTACAGACTCGTCAGAACTCACCTCACACTTTTTCTGTATATGTGTGGTACTGGGATCAAACCCAGGTCCATCACATTTAGCTACATCCCCAGCTTAATTTTGAGACAGGCTTACTGAATCACTAAATCGTCCTGGCTAATTGAACCAACACTGAACCAATGATATCCCTGGCTCAGCTGCCAGAGTGCTGGGATTACAGGCATATGCCACACTTGCCTTCGTTGTACTCTTACAGCCTTGTGTGTTGCATGGCATGGATTGTTCTCCCATTATAAAGTAAAACTCTACCCACTGGTTTAAAGCACCACCTTTTGCTGTACCAAATTTGTGTTTAATTACACTGTCATGCCACATGTGGTACTTGCCTATTATCCCATCACTTGAGAGGCTGAGGCAGGAGGATTGCCTAATGGTCAAGGCCAGCCTGATAGCAAGACCCTGTCTTCAAAAAAAAAAAAAAAAACTGCAGACCCATTGTGTAAGTAACTCTCCATGTGCCACTGCCACAGTGCTTTCATTATAAAGGTCTTGTAATAGTAATATTGCAAGCTGGCTTGTACTCAGGCCTTTAGTTTCTCCAAGATATCTCAGCCTCTTGTTGCTAATTTTTTTTCTCCCAAATGAAACAAACCATAAACCACTTTTATTGGTTTCACAGTATATTTACAAATTAAGGAGATTTAACATCTCTGATTTTCATCCTTTTTTTTTTTTTTTTTACTTTTGTTTGTTTGTTTGTTTGATACAGGGATCAAATTCACAATCTCTGGCTTGTCAGGCAGATACTTACACTGCTAGGCTAAATCCCTGGCCCCTTGATCCTTCCTTTCTCTACCTCCTTCCTTACAACTCTTCTCTCCCTACAGAGCCACCTCTCCCAACTTTCCTCATCCCTGGCTACTATTCCTGTCTTTACACATTTTCTATCCTATGCATGTCCTTTATGATCCTCCTCCCATAGGTGGGTCCTGTCCCCTCCTCCCTACCAGACTCTAAATGTGAGGTTCTTTAACCATCCTCCCTGCTCAGTTTTTGTCCCCAACAAATCTCTTTTCTCTCCCTTGACTAGAATGTGAGCTCTATAAAGCTGAACCCCTTTATCAACTGCTAGCTGGGAAAACTTGTCTAGATATAATTCAAATTTCAGATGTAAAAGAGAAAATATTGACAAAATTGTCTACATAAAAGTTTGTATGGGGAAAAAAAGTTTGACAAAAATATTTGCAATTTATACCTAAATCTGTGTGCATGTGTATGTTTCTGTGTATATCAAACTGGAAAAGAAAAATTCCAAGGCCACAGAAAAATGAGAAATATATGCAAATGGAGAGCTTTCAGAAAAGATGTTCTGAGAAAAGCAAATTAGCCTGTGCTTTCACACATTTCCTACCTAGTAATTTCAAAGAGAATGAGAGACTCAAAGACCCCTATTTTCCTTCCATTAAGACAAGTAGAGATAATAGCCATCAGATCAAGGGTTGTTAAAGCTTCTAGGGAAAAAGATAACAAGGATCAACTGACCTCAGGAGAAAGAATCAACATTCTGTGTTCCTGAGGGGATACAATGAGATACAATGTGACAACACTACTCATGAAGTAGTCACCATCCCCATTCCTGTATCTGAAAATTCCTCATCTGAACACATCCATCAGTTTAATAACCAATCAGATTGGAAATATTTGAAAAATAAATTTCATCCTTACTAAACATGTATACTTTTTCTGGTTATTATGCCCTTAACACAACTATATATTATATTCTGTTGAGTATTACAAATAATCTTAAGTGCTGGATGTAATGGTATACATCTATAATCAACAGCTCAGGAGGGTAAGGCAGAATGATTACCTAGAGTTCAAGACCATCCAGGGATACACAGTACAAAACCAGCATGAACTACATAGAAACACTTTCTCAAAAAATAAAGAGTAAGGCTGGGGGTATAGCACAGTGGTAGAATGCTTACCTAGCATTTATGAGGCCCTGGGTTCAGTCTCCAGCACTGGAACAACAACAAAAATAAAAGTTATAACAAATAGAGAAATAAAAGCAGTACCAGGTTATAATAAAAAATACGAACTACATAGACCTTGTGTCAAAAAAAAACTGTCAAAGTCATCAAAAACTAATCAGTGAAATTGTCATAGCAAAAGGAACTCAAAGAGACATGACAACTACATGTAATGGAATATTCTGAACAAGATGCAGGTACAGAATAGGGAGACAAGGCAAATGCTAAGAAAATTTTAATAAAATTTGGACTTTAACAATGTTAAAAAGGAAAATTTCCAATTCTCTCCTTAATCCCATATCTATCACAAAAGCAAAGAAAGCCAGCATTAATGAAACATTCATTTCTGCTGACTTAAAATGGGGATTTAAAGATACCAAGGCAACCGGTAAATTTTGATGGGGCAGAGATCAACCAAATGCAATGTGTGAACTTATTTACATTCTGATTTTACAATTCTGTACAATGAGATTTTCGAGTCAGGGGAAATTGAACAGTCTGGGTTTTTGAAATATAGTCTGGGTGTTCAGTGAAACAGGCATTTTTTGGTGGTGGTGGTGATTAGTTTTTTGAGCCAGTGTCTCGCTATGTAGTTAAGGCTGGTCTTAAACTCACTGTGTAGCCCAGGCAGGGCTCAAATTTGAGGCGATCCTCCTCTTTTAGCTCCCTGTGATTACAGGCGTGCGCCACCACGCCCATTCCTAAGGAAGTATTTTGATGGTATTAACAGCATACTTAATGGATTTTTTTAAAAAAAATTGTTTTATCTGTTAGATATACTAACGCATTTATAAATGAATTGATAGATGTTTGGAATTTGTTTTAAACATACTTCAGGAAAAATAAGTGAATTATAGAGATGAAACCAAAAGAGTACAATATTGGTAGTCTTTGAGGTATAGAGGGACAGGGTTCTTTATACTATCTCTACTGTGTATGTTTTAAAAGTCATAATAAAAAGCTTTGAGAACCATCAAAAAAAAAAAAAAAAAAAGCCAAGTGTTTCCTTAAAAAGGCTCAGAACATGTGCTCCCGGCCCCGGGTTGAGCTGTTGCTTCTACCTAGAACATTTCTCACTTTCTCTAGCAAATGTTTTCAGATGCCCCCTTCTCCAGGAAACTGGGTCGGAGAGAATTTCCACCACGAGATCTCTGATCCTTCGGTAATCTCCAGTAGTCTCGTGTCCACTCAGCGAAAGAGTTCCCCATCCACCCTGGGTCTCCAGTCTCGACCAACGCCGAGGTAGACGCGGACTTGACAGTGTTTACAAACTGGCTAGAAACTCTCGGTGACATGGGTGGGGCTTCCGAACTTTTCCGCGTTTTCAAAGGTCCAGATTCCACGCTAGGGATGGGGCCAACTGACTTTGCTTTGCTCTGATTAGCCCACGTTCCTCCAGGAGGGTGTGGCCGCCTTTCCTAGCCGCGCTCTGATAGACCCAGTTTTATACGTTAATCTTTCTTTATGGCACTCGGGTAGGCTAGCAGTCCTTCTTCGGGGTGTGGCCGTGTCTCATTGGTCCTAGCTGGCGGATGTATAGCGTCATGCGTCGGCGTCCGTCGCTTTCACTGATGCGTCATCTACAGGCGCCCACCCTGACGAAGCCGGAGAGTAAGACAGCAGGACCTACGGCAGCGGCGGTGGCTAGACCGAGACGGTAGTAGTGTTGACAGCGACTACAGCAGCAATGGCCGGGGCGGGGCCAGCCCCGGGACTCCCGGGTGCAGGAGGACCTGTGGTCCCAGGCCCTGGTGCCGGCATCCCCGGCAAGAGCGGCGAGGAACGCTTGAAGGAAATGGAGGCGGAGATGGCCCTGTAAGGCCCGCGAGAGGGAGTGTAAAAGCCATCCCAAAACCAGAGCTACCGAATCCTGGAACCTGCAGGCCTTAACAGGCCCAAGATATGGCTCTGCCATGAGGAAATGGGACCTTCGGGATGGTGTTGGGGCTGGGGGTTCTGGGTATGTTGGCAGGGATGAAGGCGCTGACCTGTGGTGTCTGTCCTGAACCTCCAGGTTTGAGCAGGAAGTTCTAGGGGCCCCAGTAACCGGAATCCCAACTGCTGTGCCTGCGGTGCCTACGGTCCCTACAGTAGACGCGATGCAGGTCCCAGCAGCTCCTGTGATCCGCCCAATTATTGCAACCAACACATATCAACAGGTAAGTTTTAGCTAAGGTATAAGTCAGGAAGAGCAATGACTTGAGCAGTGTTTGTTTGAGTGGAGGTATTGATATTTTGGCCTGTTGACTAATAGCATGACAAATATTTTGTGTGCTAAGCTCTAAGAATGTAGTAATGACGATGACAGTATTTCTTTCGATACCCTATATTCTAGAGCATGTTGTCTACTAGAACTTGACGGGAATGTTTTATATTTAAAATTTATAATTTACTTTCTCAGTCTCAAATTTTAAGTACTCAGTAGTCCGTTTATATATGGCTAGTGGAAAGAAAGGGAAGGCGGGAGAGAGGACTATTAAGTGAAACTGGTGCATTCTGTTCTGTTAAATGGTTATTGGATGCTTTCTAAGATTATATTTTACTAGGAAGAGATAGGTCAAGGTATGGCAAGATGGCAGTGGTTTATCATGACAAGAAAAGTAAGGAAGTAACATTTAAGCAAAGATACACAGGAGATGATGGAACTGTGCAAGTATTTAGGTAGCAGTGAGCCTAGCAAAGACCGTAACTTCACGCGCACGGAACTCCAGGGAGGTCAGTGGTTAGAGTAGAATGAGCAAAGAAGACATTGGGAGAAGATACAGAGGTGATCTAAGCCAAAGCTAGTAGGGCCTTAGGCTACCATAAGGACTTTGGCTCTTACTCAGATGGGGAACTATTGGAGGATTTTGAGCAGAAGGTGATATGTTTCAACTTGAAGTTGATCGAGTTGCTCTGGCTCTCTGGACTGTAGAGGCAAGGATAAAATCAAGAAAACTGAGAAAGAGACTGCTGTAGTGACTCTAGGCAGGAGGTAATGGTGGCTTGGGCCAGCATAGTGGTATTGGAGATGACAAGGACAGTTTGGACTTCAGAGAGTGCTGTGGGGAAGATGAAATGGGGTGGTGAGAGAAGTTACGCAGAGGGAAGGATAAGGTCTGATTTAGCTAATGTGATCTCAAAAGCCTCTCTGTGCCACAGGTAGTGGTACATGCTTATAATCCCAGTGCTTGGGAGGCTAAGGCAAGAGGATTGCTTCAAGTTTGAGGCCAGTGTGAACTATTGCAATGCCCACTCTCATAAAAACCAAAAAAAAGTCTCCCCGAGAAGTGAATTTTAGCTGAGACCTCATAGGTACCCTGCCCCACACAAAGCATAAGAATGAAAGTCTTGGCTTCCCGGGTGAGCCAACCAGGACTAATTGAAAGCACTGAGTCCAGTCCCTCATCCCATTATCCCAACCTTCTCCCCAACAGGTCCAACAGACTCTGGAGGCCCGGGCAGCCGCTGCAGCCACAGTAGTTCCTCCCATGGTGGGTGGTCCTCCTTTTGTGGGCCCAGGTAAGTAAAGAGTGGCTGACAGTAGGGTTAGAGGATCAACCCTAGGGTGATAAAAAGCAGGGTGATAAAAAGCAGTGCCCAAGACACTTTTTCGACCATCCTTATCTTTCCTTTCCCTACAGTTGGCTTTGGCCCTGGTGATCGGAGTCACCTGGACAGTCCAGAGGCTCGAGAAGCCATGTTCCTGCGGCGAGCAGGTAGGTCAGAGTCAAGAACCCCATATTAAACCAGGAACACTGGTATAAGTGACTTTAGCCTTTTGTCTGAATTGCTGCTTTAAATCACCTTCTCCATTCCTTTCCATTCTCAGGTTGTCATCCTTCCAAAGCACAACCTGATTGTGTACTTTCTGATTATTTGACATCAATTTGGACTTAACCTAGTCATTGCAAACCAATCGTCCTAGTATCACTCCTAATCTTAACCTTTGCTGTGTTTTTCCCCGGTACTTAACACTTTATAACAAGCTATATCCTTTACTTACTATAGTTGTCATCTTTGCTTCCTCTAAAATGTAAGCTTTGTGAAGAGCAAAACTCCTGGGTCCTATCACAACATAAGCATGACTTAGTATCTAGTAAAAGGCTAATATTTCCCCCTTAAAAGCACTAAGCTCCTTACATAGTCAAGACCCTGAACAACCTGGCTCTGAGAGAGAGAAATCTGCGCAGCCTCCCCAGAGGCTCTGAACATTGCCAAGATGTACCAGCCAGGCTTTGTTGAGGTCCCTTTTCCTTGTTGCTGCTTTGTCAGCTGTAATTTCCAAGGCTGTCCTTTCCACAAGCCATTCTCCACATTTTCGGATAACCCTGCACACACAATTTTACAACATCACTTTCTTAAATATATGAAAAGGAAATGTGTTTTCATTTGAACATAAAATTCTGATATAATAATCTGTTAAGTCAAACTTGTTAATTACATTTCCTATCTATGGCCATACCACCCTGAATGTGCCCAATCTCGTCTAATTACATTTCCTAAATCCTCCTGTACTTGCTTACCTGATAATATCTAAGAAATGTTAACACACTGTTTAGTAAGGTTTTGAATTTTATTTTATTTATTTATTGGCACTGGGACTCCAACTAAGAATCTCGCACTTGCCAGGCAGGCTCTGTGCTGCTGAGCTATATCCCTAGCCCCAAAAACTGTGGGGGCGGGGGGAGGGGAGAGCAGGGGAGGAGGCAGGAGG